TTGATTTTTAAAAACTATAAATTAAGCAATCGAATTTTTTATTGTTCAAGTTGCATTAAGATTCAAGATAAGAAATTAGATGAAGTATTAAATATCTCAAAATTATGATTTTTCATTTTGCATTTGGAGGTCAAAATTAAGAAATGAATGAGCTAATGGACAATATGATATTGATTAAATAAAAAAGTCATTTTAATTCAAAAACTTAATTGATGGAGTGAGCTTTTTAAAATGATTTTATATCACTGACTAATATTTATATAAAATTTAAATTTTAAACTATATCAGAAATGTGTATATATGTGTGCGTGTGTAGAGAGAGATGTTATTTAATCCTTATTCGAGAGATAGTATTTAATTCTAGTATATATAATCTTTAAAAATGTGATTATCTAAAATCCTAGCATGATCTTAATAATTATGAGATATTTAGCACGATCTTTAAGATTGTGATTGTGATTGTGATGCTAAAGTAGAGTAGATAATTTGAAGGATTCAATTTAGAATAAATATATTATTAGAACAGCTTGCATGTAAATCAAAATTAACTCCTATTCCAGATGATTTTAACAATATAACCTCCACATTGAAATAGTAAATTTAGAAAAACTTAATAATTTCTTTGGATATTGGCCCAAGGTTTGAGTTCATGAAGTCGAGGGAAGAAATATTCTTCGTTAACCACCAGGCCAATTCTGTATAATTAATGATTTAAATTTTTGGCTTTATGTGTGGAGTAAATTAAATGTTATGGTTTAATGCGAAGTAATTAAACTTTTAAATGCAACTGAAGAAATTCTAGATATATTTTTGGAATAAGTATTTTTTGGAATCATAATAACAATATAATGATGATTTAAAATGTTTTTTTCTTATAAATATATTAAAATTATTTTTATATTTTTAAAAAATTATTTTTAATATTTTAGATGATATGACAATATAAATTTTTTTATTTAAAAAAATTTAAAAGCACCAATTTTCACCGCAAACTCCCTAGCTGTATCCACCACCGCATGTAACCTTCTCATATTCTTTGAAAATAAGCAAATATTAATTGAAAAAATAGTTTATTGACCATGGAAAACACCCAAAAAGTAATATTAAATTAGCTCCAAGGCTGAGACAATCCTCTTATTTGACAGGACAGTTCATAACATCATCGAAAGATAAATTTGACAGGACAGTTCACAACTTCATCAAAGGGCAATAGACTGCCTTATCCAATCCAACAAGTAGATGAATTCACGACTCAGAGCAGCTAATTCTCAACCCATGGAAAAGCCATTCACTGACATCCCTCCATCAATGCATATGACTTGTCCTGTTAAGAAACCTGGTGCAGGCAAGCATAGAAAGGCGACAACAGATGAGACCTCCCCTGGTTCCCCCACGCGTCTCATAGGGGTTCGATTGAAAACCTCAATCCCAATGTTCTCATCATCCAGAATCTGAATGGTTAAGGAAAAGCATTAGATTACTCATGATCACAGAAAAACTAGCTTGATAATAACAAATGTGTTGCTGACATTAATTAATCTAATTCACCTAGCTCCTAAGACTGATTATTGCAGAACTGAAGCAATAAAAATGTTCGATAAGATAATCATATTGCTGAACTGAGCGTCTCGCGTTAGTTCAGAACAATCTACCTATGTTGTTGCACTTGTGCAATGAGAATTGAATGGGAAAAACATGTAGAAAGGAGATCAAACATTAATTAGAGAACTCGTGAGTTTGTAGAATGTTGTACGTGTGCTGTGAGTGGAGTTCGGATGAACCAGGGTGCAAGTGCGTTCACCCTTATATTGTCCTCAGCCCATTCGCACGCCAAATTCCTTGTAAGTTGGTTCATTGCACCTGCAGTATACATGTCATGACAGGTCCTAAGAGAACAAGCTTTTGCAAAAGAAACATAAGGAAAATTAAAATGAGAAAACAGTTCTAGAGAAGTAGTTCAAGTACCTTTAGAAGCTGAATACAAAGCATACAGAGTGTTTATAGATACCACGCTAGCAATGGAAGACATGAAGACAATCTTTCCAGCTCTTGAAGCTTTCAAAAGGGGATGTGCAAGTTGGGACAAATGGAAAGCAGATTGAACGTTTGTATTCATCAGAGATGTGAAATCCTCAGCTGTGTAGTCTAAGGTCGCTTTACATATGTTTGTCCCAACATTGTTTACCTGGAGATTTGGGAGTTTAAAAGGCTATTGATTAAAATTTATAGAACACTACTTATTTGTGCAAAATCAAGTTATATGCATTTATGTTACAACAAATAAGGCTTCTTAGTCAAGTTATAATAATAATAATAATAATAATAATAATAATAATTGTGTGTGTGATGTCGTAAAGATCATCTTTCCGGATCTGTATTGTTGAGAATAATATAGATGGATCCTCGTCCTTTCTTAATTAAAAAAAAATAGAAGTCATCACTTAATATTTTGATCATTAGAAACCCTAACAGGTTCTAGAGCTTAAGTAAGAGAGTTGACTGTGTAAAGAAAATATATTAATATCACTCGTATGCATTAACTAAAATAAATTGCATTGTTTCTTTGTCTAATATAAACTAAAAAAATATATTATTTTCTAACCGTTAGTTTAAAGCTTAAGGAAAATTCTTCTTGATAACAAAATCCTTATCTTATCATATTAAAAACTTTATCGTTCAAATATCAACATTAAAAAGTTAAGAACATAATTTTTTTTTATTTAATATCATTAATATGTTTTATATATAAGTTTATAATTCTAGATATTATAAGAAATATTTTTTATTTTAATATAAGGAATTCGTCTCAAAATATTGCTTTGAAATTTTACAGACTTGTTGTAAAATTCAAATAATATTTAAAAAAAAACATGTCAAAGTATTTTAGATTTTTTTAAAAAAAATGCTTAAATAAATTTAGAATTTTTAGCCATTTTCAAGAAAAAAAATTTTTATTATTGTTTTAGGTTTTGTTCGGATTTTTTTTTTTATTATTGTTTTAGGTTTTGTTCGGCAAGAACACATTTTTTTTTGTTATAAAATTATCAAAAATAGATTTAAGAGGTGTTTGCCAAACACATTCTTAAAACTAAAAACCCTTTAAAAAACATTATGGCAAACCAAACAGGGAAAACCTTTGACCCAATTTTTTTCACCTGACCTGTCCGAGTTGACCTAACCGAGTTAACTTGAAATCTTTAATTTCATCATAAATCAAATAAAAAATCCTAGTTTGATTTAAAAACAACCCAAAAATAAAACTAAAGCCAAAAAATAGATTGAACACTGAAAAAAAACTCAAAAAAAAAGGAGAGACCACACACCAAAATCAAAATAATGAAGAACCCCAGAAACAATCAAGAACACCGAAATAAACCTAGCAACATAAAACCTAAGACAAACCAGATTTGGTTTGAAAAAAAAGCATCATATATATTGAAAAACATGCAAGGAACAATAATTTAATATTTATTCACTTTGATTATCACTTAAACATCACAATTTTATCAAGATAGTTTTCGATTCTAAACTGAAACCCTATAATTAAAAATCATTCAAATTATATTATTGATGTAAATAAACACTAGATTATTAATTAATCATGCAAAAGAAAGGATTTTGTGTAAAGAAATGAACCAAAATTAGTTCAAATATATGGACTAAGATAATGTTTTTTCCAAGAACACAAAGAACATTACTTTAAAAATCCAGAAAAATTCCTAGCCAAGGCAGCCTCTACCAAGCCCAGAAATTGATATTTTTGGCTTCTAAAACAAGATTTTTTTTATCCTAACAAGTCATAATATTATATGCAAATATGTTTGAATCAAAAACTGTATAAAAAAACATTAAAACATCAAAATCAAATATGAGGTATCAAATAAATAAATAAATAACCTATATGTTCAAGTAACATGGATTCAAATTTTATTTTTTAAATTTATTTTATGCATGAACAAGCATAACAAACCTAAGGTAACCACCATTGCTCTAACATGCATAGTTTAAGTTAAACAAAAAATAAAACAACATTATATATTAAAAAAACTTTAAAAAAAACTTTAAAATCTTAAAGTATAAAAAACATAAAAAAAATCTCATTAAATAAAAATTACATCAACAAAGAGGTGAATGCAATATTATTTGTAAAACATTTCAAATGTCTTTTCTATATATATATATAAAACAACAAAAGCAAGCTATAAAAAATCTATTTTTGGATTAACAATGTATACCTTGACAAATTATTCTATATAGGCTTTTTTTAAAAACATTTGCCTCTCATAAACATTTACATGCCTTTTTCAATTGAATCCTTAATTTTGAATTGTTTCAATGAAATCTTTAATTGTCCATCAAACTTCAATATTTATACAATTAAATATTTGATTTGATTAAATTAACTCTCAAAAATTTCAATTCGACCTTTAGACTTTAATTTCTTCCAATCAAAGCTTAAATTGACTTCAAAAATTAATTTTTCTTACAATTAACCCTCAACTAATTCAATTAAATCTTAAAAAGTTTCAATTAAGTCCTTAAACATTAAATTTTGATTTTTTTAAAATTGAGTTTTTTTGCCAATAGAATCTTCAACAGTCAAAGACATGCTATTAAATTTTTAAATTTTGCATATTTTAATCTTTCTCAATCAATCTTCAACAATTTCCTAAATGTGTTGTTATATATATATATATATATTCCAATACATATTTTTAATTTTTCAATTTTTTTATATTATTTTTAGTTTTTTGTTTTTTTGGTTCATGTAAGGTTTTCGAATAGATAACAACAAAAATAACAATAGTAATTGTAATCATTTTCACTGTCCTCAAAACTTTCTTAGGATCACTGCAGCAATTATCACTCGTTGTATTCTTTGAGTCTTTTCCCATCCAAAGACAATGCCTAATGTCTTACACAAAAGGCACTGTAGAGCTACCCTTTTAATATTAGAACATCTCCAATAGAGAAGTCAAATGAATAGTAAAAAATAAAAAATTAATATTTTAGTTTTTTTTTACTTGTTTTGCACATTTTAAGGGAAAAGCCAAACAAAATACTAAAATGTCTTTTCTTTCCCACAAATGCTATTTCTACATATCTTTTCAAAGAGTCAAAACCAACAAAGAGGGACCACTAAAAAAAGAAACCAATTAAATATAGATATGTGGAAAAAAATAACATTAAACATATTAAGAAATAATAAAATACTTGTTTTTTCTACTCCAATATAAATGACTCTTCAAATGGTTTTTTTCATTGGAATAGATATAATAAAATAAGCTATATTTATACTATTTAAACTACTATTTTATCAATTTAACTTTTTAAAATAGTATTTTGCATTAAAAATGCTTTTACGAAGTTTTTTTTCGGTACTATGAAAGTGTTAAGCAATAAGAAAGACACAGAGTGAAATTTCACATACAAGGATATTAAGGCATTAAAAATGCTTTTACCAAGTTTTTTTTTGGTACTATAAAAGTGTTAAGCAATAAGAAAGACACATAGTGAAATTTCACATACAAGGATATTAAGCTTCCCATCAAACAGAGAGGAAACCTCCTTCATCAGCTTCTCTCTTTCAGCGTTAGAGGATACATCACAGACTGAACCTGTAACTTTGAAACCCTTCTCCTTCCATTCCCTAACGCGATCATTGAGCTGGTCTTGGTTCCTCGCACATGTATGAACAATTGCCCCTAGCGCTGCTAGCTCTTCCACAATAGCACAACTGATCAAAATGCATCAGCAAACAGTCTTTGGCATTAAAGACTTTAATTCTTGATGCAGCGTGCATTGAAAGATAAAAAACTACGGTTTTTCGAGCTCTAAACTATTATTTGAATTTCGGATAGTGTTGGTCTCTTCGTAGCCAACGGTAAACAATCAACATGTCCAAAATCTTAACCAATCAGCAAGATGCAAATATAATTCTTAAGCTACCAATTTTATCTCTAACAAAACATTTATAAGGAAATTGGAGGGAGATACTAACGGATCGACAAGCATTTTATAAAATAAGGGACCAGAATATCATTAAATCTAGATCTCAAAAAGGAATAGAATGAAGAAGAAAAAATTAAAGATAGAGAGAGTTAAGGTTTTAGTCTATTTCCGAACTTATTTGCAAACGTAAGAAATTTGGTTACCTTAATGTAGAGAAACAACGTAAAGATTTATGAACAGTG